GCCCGGCGCCTGCCTTGTCCCGCCCCGCGGCCCTTCCTCCGCCCGGGCGGATGTCGCAGCTGTGGGGAAGAAGCTACAAAGGGGCCAAGGGTCGTTTCCCTCCCCGGAGCTTTTCCAGCATCGCTGCCCCCCCTGCATTCCCACCCCCCGTGGTCGTTAAATGAGAAGGGACAGAGGCTGCTGGAGGGCTCTCTGTCGTTAAATGAGAAGGGACACAGGCTGCTGGAGGTCTCTCTGTGCGTGAGAGTGAGGATGGGAAAGGCCAGGATAGCTTCTTGGAGGTCGAGTGCTTCCAAGAGGGATTAAGCCAGGGATTTGGACCAGATGACCCACCGTGTTCACTTCCAACTCGACCAACTGTGTGATTCTGATATAGGCAAGTCATGTCAGCATCACCCACTCCGAAACTCCCTTCTGAGTGTTTCCATTCAGCCTTTTCCAAAGTCAAGAGAGACGTTTATTTGCTTTCTTGCAAAAGTTTAAAAACTTCTAAAATAACATTTTAACTGTTCCCAAAGTCTCAGAAACTCTCATGACTTCTTGTTTACCCAAACAGCAGCACAACAAGAGTGAACTCCCTCCAACAAGAGCTCTGTACTGTCAGATAGAGGAAGGTCTCAGTCCTGCAGGGAGGACTTGGGGGCTGTGTTTATCTTAGCCTGATTTTCTTCAGGCCCATAGGGAACTCCCAAGACAGCATGGAACACACTTCTCATCTCCCCAAGCACCTGCTCAGGTGATCCAGGTCTGCCCCAAAGGCTTCACTGCACACCCATGGCTGAGGCTGGTGTTTGGCCAAACACAGAGTGACACCAAGGAATACTTTGGCACTGCAGTGACTGTAATAAAAAAGCCTAAATTTAACAGAAGGAATCACAAATGCACAGAGAACACTCATAGCAACACAACAGCTGATTTGAAGGCAGCACCTCAGGTGATTATCAAGGTCATTCTACCTTCTCAACATGTTCTAGTACCTTTCAGAAAAAAAAAAAGCACAAAGTCAGAGATTTTAGGCTTGAGGTTAATTTGGTATAAGCCCAAAGTGACAACACAAGGAATTATGTAAACTTGTTTAATAAGTTTTCTTGAAGAAAAGATTCCCTAGGTTGGTTTTTTTTGGGGTCTAAAAACAAGACCCTGCTCTGCAGGAACAAACAGCAGCTCTGCAGCAGGGAAGGGAGCAGTTGTTGGACCTTGTACTAGGGGAAGCAGAGTCAGAAACCCAACAGAGTAGTGCTCTGGGGTGTTCCTGCAAGGTGACATTACGCACTTGATTGCTGTGGAACACGTGAACCAGGCAAGTTTTACCTTACAGCAACCTAAAGAGTAATTTTTCCCTCTCCACAGCATATGCAGGACACCCCTTAATGCTTTCCTGTTGGTTTCAGAGAAGTTAGAACCAACTGAACTGCTTCACAGTGTGGTGATTGACCCTCCCCAGGCAGGAGCTGAGCAGGCAGCTCAGAACCCTGAGCCTGCCCTGCCCTCACAACACACCAGCATTGGATCACAGCTTGTTGAAACAGCACTGAAAACTTGCCCAAGGGAACTCAGCTCCTTCTCAGCTCCTCTGCAAGGTCTTGGGTGAGCTGTTTTACCCCACTGGGGCTTGGTGTCCCAAGTGTGGGACAGAGATAAGCAGCTCAAGCATGCTCTGTGTGTGTAGATTTGGGAGGACTTTGCTCTGAGCACTGTTTTTCCCTTGCCAGGATAACGCTAAGTTTCCAAGCACGTGGCCCTCAGGTACCCACAGTGAAGCTGATACTTGGCTACAGCTTCTCACTGTCACTGTTGTGAGCAAAATACACCTGTGGCAGAAGTGCTGCAGGTGAGTTGGAGCAGCAGGTTCAGACCTTGGGGTACACAACACTCCCTTGTGAGCCAGGCTGGGGGCAGGAAAAGAGGGAAAATTTGGAGGCAAGTGTGAAGAAGGATGAGGTACTCCAGTAGACTTCATAGAATCATTGAGGTTGGAAAAGACCTTTAAGATCATTAAGTCCAACCATTCCCCCAGCACTGCCAGGTTGCCAAGTGCCTCATCTACACATCTGACTTCAGGGGTAGCTGAAGGAAGCTCAGAAACCTTAGCACTCAGCAATACTATACTGTCACTTTTCCCCACAAGGCTGTTTTGTTTTCCAGGATTTTAGGATAACTCACAATAATATTTTAACACCTAAAAGGGAAGAAATGTGTGGCACTAAGATGCCTCATGCAAAGATCTCCAACACACTGACTGTTGGTCAAATTTCTCCTTCTTCTATTGCCTTTTAAAGCAATGGAGAGACTTTAGGTTTCTTTGGCTCTGTATGATTTGGGTAATTCCTTTCTGAAATGACAGGAATTACCATTTTAGCTTTAGTAAGAGAAGCATTTCTCCTGCAGCTCTAACTGAGCCTGCAGCAACAGGGTGTGGATCCCCAGTGCTTGAAGTCTCTGCAATATTCACTTATTTTCGAGTGATTAAAGATCAGCTCTGTAAAGAATTACCACTTACAACTCCTTTTTGCCCAGAGGCTGACCAGGAGGTTCTCCACTTCATTTACTTGAACAAATACTTGATAAGAATAAAAGAGGAAAGGCAAGATGCCACAAAACATCAGCAGGGAAATGCATCAGCTCTCCCAGGTCATTTGCAACATGCCTAAATGGAGCAGTGACTCAGAAGGTGAACATTCCTCCCAGCAATGGAGAGGCTGCATGGAGCAGGACGTGGCACCTGGTTGTTCAAGCAGTGCTTCACTCCACTGCCTGTCACATGAGCCACTGAAATTTCCACAAGATTTAACTAACAGCATCTCCCCAGCAGTAGACAGCACACTGCACCCCAGCACTGTCTTTCCCCTGGTACAAAAACTGCAGGTGTCTCCACTCCCACTCACCTGAGCCCAACTCCAATCTAATCACCTAATCCAGACTCAGTCCAGTTTGGATTAGCAAATAATCCATACAGAACACATGAGCCACTGAAATTTCCACAAGATTTAACTAACAGCATCTCCCCAGCAGTAGACAGCACACTGCACCCCAGCACTGTCTTTCCCCTGGTACAAAAACTGCAGGTGTCTCCACTCCCACTCACCTGAGCCCAACTCCAATCTAATCACCTAATCCAGACTCAGTCCAGTTTGGATTAGCAAATAATCCATACAGAACCCTCCTGACACACAG